ATCATGTAAATCATCAACATACTTTGAAATATAGTTCAAAAAGATGTGTCAGACTGGGCACCTATCTAGACTGCTCTGAGCGAAGAAGACAGGCAATTTCTTTTGCAAAGGAAAGCCACACAATATGCCTGCCATTGCAGATATCAGCCTGGCAGCCTGCACTTTAACAGGCAGCAGCTCATTATACTAAATTTACATCGAGCAAGCAGACACTCTGTTACAAGTCATTAGTGCTATGACCAAGAATTCAGAAATTTCTTGCTCCCAGTGCAAATCTTACAACTTCGTTCCTATAGTCATGAACATATAATTGGGGTTTTATGCTTCTGTTCTCTACCTGTGTGATTGTGCCTTTTTTGTGGAGTCATTGATGGGCATTTTTCCATCACACTTCTGCTGATAACATGGTAGCAGCCCGGCATCAGCAGATATTTCTGAATGCCTATCCGAAGTGAGCATTTTACTCTTCTTAGAAGACCTACTCTTCTTCTTTCTTTCATTCAAAAGGTGTGCTCAGTGAGCCTTCAAAGAACCATAACCACAACAGTTAGAATTCCTTCCAATCTCCTGAATGGAGAACAGTGACAGAATAGTTCATAAAAATTGTGGGGGAAGGGAAGGGTGGCAGAAGAAAAAAGCAAAAAAAGGAACCCTACTTGGCACGTGCATAACCATCTAAGGCTATTTTAATCTCAGGCTATTTTCAAAATGAGAAAAAAAGGTTAACCTTTTCCTCAGAGAGGAAAAGTGGAGCCAACTGGATTGTGTGCCTTGCTTACAGTTACCAGGAAAGTCAACAGGAGAGTGAGAAATGCCTGAATCTGGCTGTGACTCTTAATACGTTTTACTGCTGTGTTATAATGATGCTGCCTTCAGTTAATATATTCTGATACACAATGAAGAGATGAGAACACATGGAGATGCATTAGAGAGCACATGCTGGAGATAACACAATTATTTTCTACTCAAAACAAACCAAACCTAGAAAGGTCGAAACTGAGCTCCTGCCTGATGTCACTTCAACAGCCAGCAAACAACTGACCAACACAACCAATTCCTTTGGCTTTTACTGGGTCCAAAGGGTGATGAAACAGGAGGCCAGGCCCAAAAGAGTTCACTAAGAAATTTGGGCCTGCTAACAAGCTACTAACATCCAAAACCATCTGTGCTCGTTCTGTTCTACTTACCGGACCAAAACTTAAGAGAATGGTAAAAGAAGATGTAATAGGCCTAGAGGTAATAAATTAAGGTGCAGTCGGATAAGGTAGACATTGGAATAGAAGAAACAGGCTGTGAGCCAAGGCTTTTTCCAAGCTTCAGTGAGCGGGTTGAGAACAATGGAAAAGAAGAGAGGTCAAGCTGAGGAAGATGAGAATTAGCCCCCAGACTCAGGGAGGAAGAACAGAACTCCCACCAAAATTGAGGGCTAGGAGAAGCCCCGCCTGAGCTCCACCTGTACTCCGCCTGTTATTAGTACGTGTAGATAAATGCTGTAATCACTTGAATATGCACTTAATCATATACGAAAACTGTATAAAAACTGCTGATTCCGTGTGAAGCCTTGGAGCAGGTTTTTCCAGCAACAGCTGGCTTGCTCCCAGCGCTGTCAATAAATACCTTTGCTGCTCAAGGATCAAAGCCTCTGGGCACTTCATTACTCCGGATTTTTCGGATTCAGTGAAACTCCACGCCTACCGCTCGGCTTCCAGGATCCAGGGCTGTCACCGCAGGCGGGGCTCCCA